ATGAACTGGAATCAAACATGCTGATCTGATTCTCCAAAGTCATACTTCTAAAGCTAAGTGAGGTCATCATCACTTTAATGAGAAAAGTGGTATAACCATACTACAGCATACACAATTGTATTACCTGAGGTTGAGCTATGAGGGGTGGAAGGTACAAGAATCTTGACACAAAAATTGTAGTACACACTAGGCATAACACAAGGGTTTGCAAACCATTGACTGAGAGACAACTGACTCCTTATTCCCTCTAAAGATTCTAGGCAAAAAGACAGTTCTGCTTTATGTCTGTCAACAATACTGTAGAACATGAAGATATTGCTCAAAGGCAGCACAAGTTGTTTGTTTTCAACATACAAGAAAAAAACCTGAAAAGTAACGAATGGAAAGAGAAATCATACTGGAAATGCCAGTTTAATAATGCATTTTGTGATCCTGATTTTATATTGGGTTTTGTTTTTTGTTTGTTTTTTTTTGTGAGTGGAAGCACCTGGAAAATGACATTATATACCAGAGAATAGCTCTCCCCAGTCTGCACCAGACTATGACAAATAAATCTTGCCAGACAATTACTCCTCAAGTCCTTAATAAAATTAGTGAAGAAGTCAAAGACATTTGCTGTCAGTAACTTGCTTCTAATCTAGAAGACGACTTTGTATTCTGAGGGCTTGCCACAGCAAAAAAACCTTCCTATTAAAACAAGACCAAGAAAACAAGCACAATTGCCCATAAGAAATTTACTTCCCTTTTTATTTATGATCTCCAAGATACACATTTAATGTTTCTTGGCCTTCTAAGCTTTTTTGCACTATATTTACAGCAGCTACTTTTGTGATAGCAAATATCTGGGTATAACAAAGGCAGCTGCATTTGACAGCTACATTGCTCTGAAACACCAACTCACCTGCTTTTTTTTGAGTCTTCATGTGTAGAATAGCTACGCTTTGCAAAAGTTTGATTTCTCTTTAAAACTAGTTTTTAGACACTGATACCAACAGAATAGTGATTTACAGTTTAGGAAGAGAAAGATTCTTAGCAGCTATTAAGAGAGCTACGACTCCTATGTCAGATGCAGAACTGCTACAAATACAAAGACACGATCATTTAATAAAACATTCACTGTCACACTGAGCAGTGATTAGAAGTTGTTGCGTGTTATACCAGAAGAATGTATTGCTTAGCTTAATGGGGGGCTGTCCGGGAGATCAAAAAAACAAGCTGGCAAACATCAGGATAGGTTCTGACAAGCCGTGTGGGAGCAACTATAAAGCAATAGGGTATCCATTAAACTGATATCCTATTTCCAATCTCAGGCTACGTACAGACTTAATCTTTTCCCAGTGCTGGAGCTACCCCATTAGAGCTGGAGGATGACCAGAGAGCAAACCAGTCCCTGGAAGAGTCGGTGAGTCAGGAGGACAAAGTCAATTTTATGTGAGCAAAACAGGAAGGAGGAAATATTACCAGCTGAGGATAAAGGACCATCAGCCACACTCTGTGGTGGGTTCTGCAGGTCACTAGACCTACAGGCTTTCTGAATGGAACATTTTATGAGGTGTGAATACAGGCTTTAAAAGGGGAAATACTTTTTTTCTAAATAGACAATGCATTATTTTAAGATGGTCACCTGGGGGCCAACAGGGGTCCTCACTTATATTATTTCCGCCAGGTAAAAGATCTATTCCTAAGGCAAGTCAGGGAGGGTAATCACAAGTAGTTTCAAGCAAAACACTGACCAAAAGGTTGACCTTTGAGTTGGAAAAAAAATTAAAGGAATTCATCTTAAGAAAGGCTTATGATCAGCATCATTGACCTGGACAGGAGATTCCTGATGCTATCAAGAGTTATCTCTCCCAGATGTGCTGGAGATAGCACTTTGAAATATGTACCAAAATCAACTGTTGGTACTGCATTCTTTAACATTTATAAAAGTGTACCGATGCTGACAGGATGTAAAAACACTAGGTTTTATCCTGCACAGTTTGCCTTCACAGAAGTCAGCGATTTTTCAGGTGATACCTCCTATGTAAAGGTTGCTACTGTTTCTATCTTTCATAGTCATAGCAAGGCAGTGCGTTTCTTCTGATTCACTTCATCTTGCAATATGTCCATCAGAGCTAGCTCTCATTCTTCCTGTATCCAGTCTTCCTCTGTCTTTGACAGTATATCCAAGTGCTCAAAAATTCAGCCATTCACTGACTGTAATGTCATGCTTTTTCTCCTATATGCTGCTTTTCAAGAAGTGATCTTCTAAGTTCATTTTTCTGAACAATTTGTGCTTTTAGATATCCATCTGTTCTTTTAACACTTCTCCAACAGCTCAATCCAAAATGTTGCAGCTCATCTCATCTTATTCAGGATCTAGCTTTCATATCCTTCCTCCCTATGCACCATGCTGACTGCTGAAATGTGAAGTAAATGGTCTAAGTTTAAACCCTCCAACAGAGGGCATGGAGCTCATGCCAAAGGATGCTATATGCTAGCTGACCAATGCAGTATATTTTTTCCAATTGCTTTTACCACTAACCAACTACGTGACATCCTGAATTATTCCTTCTTTAAAACATATAATGAAATAATTTAATATGAAAATAAACCAAGCAGGAACAAACTCGTTTTAATTACATAGAGTCAGGGACCAACAAAACAGGATGAGATGTTTGAAGGTTGAGCCAGCTGAGACCTTATTATTTTATGTATTATTCTGTTATTTGTTTAGGATATACATCCAGGTAATGCTTACAGTTCTTCCCATCTACAGAGACCTAAGGTCCCTTAATGCAGCTCTCATCTTCTTTTCTTGATGCATGCAATCAAACTATGCTTCCAAAAAGAGTTGTCTTTAGGAAGAGAGTCCCCAGACACCACTTTACACAGTTGCCTGATTCATATAAATGTAAGTTGGGAAAAATAATCAAACACTTTTAAATACAGGTTTAAAATATCGTGATTGAACTTGCCTATACTATTTACATGAAGTATTCTGTTACTCTTCTTGTTCTCCCCGACCCATATTGGATTCCTGTTCTTTTTCTTCAGAAACACTTGTAAAATTCTTTTAAATATATTTTTTTTGATCCTGCAACTGTGATATTCCTTCTCCATTCCATCACTTTTCATTTATTTCCTGGATGGTTTAGAGAAAGACCCACACTGAGGCAGGGTAGTCATAGCAGCAGAGGCAAGAAGCCAGCCCCTACTCCTGAATCCCTGTGTACCTGTGAGAGAGTCTTACTGCCAACTGTGTAACATGCATGCAGGGAGCAAAGTGGGGCTCTTCCAAGAGCACACCTTCTGGAAAGTCTGTGTATAGGAGTAAGCATGAACTTATGGCTTTCACTACCAACATTGTTTCTAGCAGAAACAACCTATTCTGACACTCCTTGCAAAGTATTTTCACACACAAAGATTGGCACTGATAGAAGCATAGGAGATAATATTCTTTCCTGCTTTGGGGAAATCAGATTAGCAGAGAGCATAAAGGAGCCTACCCAGCAGCCCTCCAAGCTACTTTGCACACCACATTTTCTTTGTATTGTCCTCCCCTACAACAAACTATTTGTAGCTGCTGCAGGAAAGATCCAGGGCTTGATAGACCAAGTTAGTTCATCTGACTTGACAAATACTCTTTTCCTCACACAAACAATCAGTTTCTTCTTCCTCTTTCACCTTCGTCTTACCTATCTTTGAATGTTTGCAGTTCTCAGTGAGCACTCTCTGACTGCATGATGTGATCTTTGAGTGCACAACATGGGTTTAACTATGCATCTCACATTCAAACCACAAAACATCATTTAGCAGCCACTGGAGTACTTCTTGTTTCATCATACCCATGTTCACACTCTGAAGAGATATTGACATAATTTCCATTATTAATTTTTACTTCATTCTCAAAGATGTGCACTGACAGTCTTAGCTCCCCAGATATATACAAGGTACCTCAAAAATATAGGGAGCATAGCTATTTTAAATGGCAACATGCAACTCACAATGAAAAGCTCACGCTGATATAGCACTCAAGTTCTAAAATATCCTAAAGCACTTAAGCCCACATTTAAATAGCCTCAGTCTCACTAGTGACCTTCCTTTGCTCTGGTTTAGACAACGTCCCACTCAGCTGCTGCACTACACCTCTGGAGGCTGCTCCTTCTCTCCATTGAGAAAGGAGGCTGTCTAAAAACAACACTGCACAAGTTTAAAACAGTTAAATACAGGCAATTTGGAATGGAAGCTGGTCTTTCAGCAATGCAACAGAATTTTTTGCAGTCTGGCTAGGAAGCTCAGCTAGTATGCAATCACCAGGAAGTACCACAGCAGCTTTAAATTTTGCACAGAACAAATACATTGTTTTGAAAGGTCATGACAGTAAATTGCAAGGAATTCAATTTATCTCCCTTGGATGGATGAAGAACTGAGTCAAACTTAGAACAGTGGAAACCTCTGGCTCCAAGAAGTCTGTGCAGGTTCAAACCTGGTCTTGTGGCAGCCAAACCATCCTTTCAGCTATATGTTATTACAGCTTGGGATTTTCAACTGTTTTTTTTTCCTCAGCTGTGCTATTGCAGCAAATTGTGTCACAAGCATCAAAAGAAGGTCAATACATGAAGAATTTGTTTCTCTTTAACCAGGAAGTTTACAAAATGTAAAATGGTGATACAGACAGACATCATTATAATTGTCTCACACTCGTTTATCCACGTGTAAAGTGACACATGAAAAAGTACAGGGAGGTATGTGGGAGGAATCACCATGAGCACAACACAGAAAGTCAAATACTTTGAAAGCAAATAGGCAGAAGGATTAATTTTAAAAAACAGAAAGACCATAAAAAAACAATACCATGAGCCTCACATGTTTTAGCTTCATAGTATATACCTAGGAGGACAGTGACACACCAGTAGCACACTTGATTTAACAGGCTCCTTGCATGTAACTGAGTACAACAGAGCTAAGTGAGCAGATCATTCCTGATTGGATATATTGCACCATGCAACAGCTCTTACCTAAAGCTTTCTGGGTATTCAACAACAGCCATGTTGATGACATCCAGTGCATGTTGATAGTGCTTCTGAGCTGAAAAGAGGAGGGCCAGTAGATGAAGTGAATTCATGTCATCTTTGCATAGTTGTAGTGCTTCTTGAAGATGTTCTATAGCATCAGAAATCTGGGAAAAGATGCGGTAGAAATAAAAAGAACACATTTCTACTATTTGAACAGTTTTCCAAAATTAACAGACTGCACTGCTTGAAAAAAACCACACCTGCTAGAGAAAGGAGTTTGTGGCATTACTAAATCACTGCTTATAAATGGAGCAGCAGACCTGATTCAATCAATCCCGTCTTATATTGGCATGGTGCTTCCATGCTGTAAACACACCCATTACAGAGGCCCAATTCTCTACTCCATTTTTCTAGGATGGGTGGCTGGATCTTTACGCGGGTCGGACATTACACATTTCTGCTGCATTTTGTCTTTTGTCATGGCTGCACAAGGCCCTTCATGAAGAACAATCAAGAACATAAAAACTGAGTTTGAATTGTTCAAGGGTAAAGTCAGGATTCAAACGCTGTCAGAAAGAAAATACCTCTGCAAGCCAGGATATAAAGAGCAGCCCTAACACTCACAGCAGCAGTGTGTCATTTGAACCAAGTCTCGCTTGGTAGAAAACTTAACATCTATAATGCATGCAAATATATCATATGCTCTTTGTGATCCAACATCCTATTTTAGGCTATCCATTCAAAAGGGAACTTCTGAGATTTTTTTTCCTTTAGGTAGCACTAACTTTTATACGGAGGATTTTTTTTCTTTTTTAAGATTCTCTAGTGCCTGATATTACTGTTACTTAAATTATCCCAGATCTGTGTTTGACCCTGGAAGCCTGCAACAAACAAAAACAGAAAAAATGTAGAAATGTATTTTCCTCATATATACATTCGCCCTCCTTGCCTTTTAAGGGATGGAGAATGTAGTACTTTCTTTCTACTACAAGAACTTCCTACCTAGCAAAGCTCTGAAGATGTTCTCCTGCCTTGAAATACCACCAGTGTCAAAGTCCCACCATCTCCACAGATAATTCAGGAAAACAGGTCACTTGTAATTAAGGAAATCAACAATTACACTGTCTGCAGTTACAACAGAGGTTGCTGATTACCTGGATCCCAGGTATACTTCTGGGAACATGGTACATGTTCTGTTTATGGGACAACTTCGTCCTAATGTCCAACTGACATTTCACTCTTACTTGAGTATATGCAAGCCAAGATACTTAACTACTCCATTACTGGTGACTCCATGCAAGTCTGGAAGATTAGTACAACTGCTCCACAGGCATAACCCTGAACTGGCATCTGGCCCACAGCTTCAAAACTGCTGAATGTCCTGGCCTAGATTCAGACTGGGATATATGACTGAGTGCTTAGCTTTAATGAATTACTGCTGGTCAATGAAGCTACTTTAACCACATGTGTTATTACAGCCTACTGCAAAGAAAAACACATTGGCTTAAATGACCAGTGTCTCCTCAGCAGCTTACTAGGACCCATTTTCTTACCATGTAAAAACACTAGCAATGACAACTCGGAAAAAGGACAACAAACATGAGACCGTGGTGGGCCCAGATCTGCCTGACCACAAAGTTCTTCAGTAGGTATACGAGAGGTATCTCAATCTGATTTGCCTAAACAAAGCCGCTATCAAGAGTCTTCTTGTACTCAGGCTAAAAAAATCCCTTATTTTTTCTATTCCTCTGTCTCAGGCCTGCACAAGTACTTCTAAAGAAATTCCAAGTTTGGGGAAAAAGAAGTTCATCAGAAGAAAAAGAAACTCTGTAAAACAAACAACTGGGGGGGCTTCAAGCAATCTGTTCCAGCTGACCATGCTTTGAAGTGAGTGATCTCCAGATGTCCCCTCCAAACTCAACAATTCTATGATTCTATTCAAATACTTGGGAAGGTGATCCTAATTTGCTAGTATGAATCAGACAAAGAATAATACTTGCAACTAGTGTCTTTACTGAGGGGCTTAGAATTTGTAAGGATACTTGAATCTTTTTTGCATGTGAACATGCAACTCAGTCATTGAGACTTTGCTTTTTATGTGCAAAACTCCAACAACCACACAACTGCAAATCCACACCCATAAGATGCCAGCTATCAAAGCAGCTCTCTGACTCTGTTGCAACATATACAAAATAAAGCAGCACAAAAAAGTCAGTTGTGGTTGCTTCTGTCACATATTGTTGAAATAGATATAATCTAAAATAATTCCACCCTGTTCTGGAGCATGGGGCTTGCAATGGTTACATCTCATTTCAGTACTTCCCTCTAGTACCATCAAAGTCACAGGTAATGTCTGTTTTTGGAAGTTAACCATGCTTCCCTGACAACTGATTGTTTAACTTGAGCTCAGAAAGATTCCTTAGTGCTGTAACACCATTAGTAGCATACAGACTGCTGCATAATTGGAAACAGAGGACAAAACACAGTAAGAAAAAATACCCTTTAATAATACAAAGAAACTCTGTTCCTTTATGTGAAGCATTATACAAAACAACAACCTGCAACAGACCAGGTGCAACAAAATACAAACTAAAATTCTAGAACAATAAAGGAAAGATATTTGGCAGCAGTCAACATAAATGTATTTTGAAAAGCAGAGATCATCAATCTACTGATGGATGCCATAGCTTATTTATTTAAGTAACTATGTAATAAGAGAAAGATGGAAGAAGGCAGGCCAGATGGCACCCTGAAACTTCAGGGCTGTTCCAGAGGAAGGCTGCCAGTTTAAATTCCCAACAAGTGCTTTAAAGTAATCTTATTTCAGCTGGACTGCAGGTCTGAGTGGGGCCTGCAATTAGAAGATGCTACCTTTCCTCTGATTCATCTTTCTGTTAATAAATATACCACGTGTTCTGCATGGCACACAGGTATATCAGATCACACTGATTAGGAAGCAAAGATCCTGCAGTAAGCCAGAAATAACATCTTGCATCACTACCAAAATAATGTCACAGTATGGATTGTTTAGGCTGCCTCTTATATAATTTTATTTATTTTAATACTACATTCCTCCTTAAAAACAATGCTGGGATGTTGCAATTGTAGGTATAAAAAGGAAAACATTACTAGTGTTAAAAATAATTCTCAACAGTAGAATGCACTTGCATATTTAGAATGGTAAATGGAACAGGATCTCATAACAGAAGTTTTCAGGCCTTATAATTTCACATCAGGTCTGAGTTACAGTTAATTAACCATTGAAATTATCCCCACCATCTCTTTGTAGCATACAACTATAAAAAAGAGAAAGCTTTAATGACTGGCAAGAGCTTCCATTGAAAACAGACTTGCTACAGTCCACCCGAACTTCAGGAAAGCAGATGTGGACATATTTGAGAGTTAAATTATTACTTAATTCTTACTACAAGTTGGTTTGATCACCAGAAAAAATCTAGGCCAGGGTCCACACAGAAAAGCTGCATATTGCTGTTCAGCAGAGAAGGCACTAGCTGGTCTGGCAGAAACACAGACCGGAACTAGCCACATCCAGCAATCAAGGAAAGAAGGACCTCTCCACACCTGCTAAAACAGAGCTCCCTTCCTAGGGCAAAGAAAAGTCGGCAGTCTTGCCTTCTAGAAACCAGAATAAAAAACTGTGGAGAAAACAACTGAAATATTTTCTCTGCTGTCTTAACTGATGTTTATCTTATTTTTACATCCAGACAAGCTGGAAGGTGGAAGGTGTTTTTTGGTTACTGCCACTTTGAAACATCAGGTCTGCTGGCAGCCCATAGGTGAAACTGGTAAGCGAGAACTCTTAATTCTCAGCTGCTGGCCCCTGGCTGTTTTTCCCTTCCTATTTTCATGCAAAGAAAGGTCAAATTAAATCAAGTATTAAAATGGCACAACCCCCCCCATCTTGTTTTTATGTATCTAATACAGATTTATGTGGTATTCAAGGTCAGAAACAATACAACCACCAAAAACTAGAAGGGAACCAGCACTTAAAAATAACAAGAGTGCTGACTCTCTAGAGTCATTTCCATAGTAACTGGCGGGCTAAATAAGTAGGCAAGGCATTAAAACCAGTGAGCTTTAAAATGTTAATTCTACCTTGTTTTTGCTGATCCAAATGCTGTTTCCACAGAAACAGGAGAAGCAGCCGAACCAGCCGTCAGGAGCTGGGAGTTACAAGTCTCATTTGTCGATTGGCTCGGCCAGCTGCCAGCCAGGCACTGCAGGTGGAGATAACCACCACAGAAAGTACTGACCTTGGCCTTGTAGCACTTAACTCTGGAGGAAAACCAGACTGAGACACACCTTAAAAAAGAGAGTATACTCTATGCTTTGCTGAAAAATCCACCTAAAAGGCTGTGGGGCTAACCTAGAAACACTCCAGGAGGGATAGCATTCCT